TATATTTGAAGGGTTTACAATAATCTGTTTCCTCAAATAATCTGAGTTAACCTAACTAGTTGGGTTTTACAGTGATGCTGTTACTCAAGGGCCTCAATTGCATATGGCTATGAATGGCAGCTGTCATATCTTGGTTTCTGGTAAATTCCAAAGAATTTAGGCATTATGTCACCAATGCATCAAAAGGAAGTGCTCACGCCATCACTTACACCATCACATTCCTGTTTATTTGTTTCATTGTTCTTCATTGCTCCATGGTTGATTCTGTTTTGTCAGTTCCACTGCATCTACGTTTTGGATGACAACAGTACAGTTGTGCATTTTTACTGAAATTTTCTAAGCCCTTGGAGCATGGGAGTGGTGCTCATGACCACAACAGTATGTGGAGGTGTGTTCAAGTCTGGAGGCTCACAATGCAATCTCTCTCAGCTTGAATTATGATTTTGAGTTCTGTGGTGTACAGTTGGTGCTTCAAACTACCAAACATTCAGTGCTCTGTCAGTTCCATTGCGTGACATATTTGGATGTGTATGGCACATACTGAGTTCCTCATGTTGAGCCATGCTGTATATTCTCCTGTTTGGGGACAGGCTAAATTGGAGGGCTATGTGAGATCACTGAGGCATTTCTACCTTTTCTGCTTTCAAGAAGTTGTGCTCCATGTTAGATCCCTCATACTCAATCAGTTCCATTCACCACATTCTGCATTCACCACAATTCACCACTAACTGAATGACAGTTTTTCTCACACCGCAATGTCTTGGGTCATGTGTCTACTACATTGTGGTTTCAACTGGTTGTGGTCCTCCATGGTGTATGTTGGACCTCCTGTTGAGACAGTTATCCATGTGGTTCATCCATGTCAGGGTCTTTTTGGATGGTCTGCAGCAGACAGGGCTCAGGACATTTCGATGCCCCTCAAATGTAATTCGCTGATCAGAGATGTAGAAGCTTTCTCTGATCTATGCACTGTTTGGGCCTATGGGCCTGAGTGGTCACTTGATCGACCAAAGCCCTCTTTACAGGCTTCTGCCACACTGCATCTGACACCTTTCTCAGTTCACATGACATTGTGTCTACCTCTGCCTAACATATCTTGTTGGTTTCTTCGAACCATAGAAAAATGGTATGCTATCTGATTTCAGTGTTGTTTGCCTTAGGGTGCTCCTATAATGATTGGATTTTGGGAGACTCTGATTTTATGACAGGATATTCATTCTCTGTTGGAGAGAGGAGTCTTAAAGGAAATGCCTCTGTAGGACCTCAGCAAATTAGGCGGTGATGACGTGAACTGTGTTGAAACAGATCAGAATCAGAATCAGAAAGAGCTTTATTGCCAATTGTGTTTACACACACAAGGAATTCGTCTTGGTGTCAGGAGCTTCCAGTACAGAAAGTACAAACATAGTGCATACATACAGTAATAAAAACACTAATAATAAAGAGAATAGACAATACTAATCTACTCTGGTGTGATTGAATTTTGAATTAGAGACAAAAACAAAAACTTGGTGGACGGTCGAATCCTCAATTGTCACTCCTGGAGGGTGTTTTATAGTGTAATCTACTGACGCAGCATTTCGTTTCCTATTCAGTAAAGGAAGGAGTAAAACTCTTAAGTGGATGAAAGCCAGTGTTTGCTAATGATTGTGATGTATGGCAGCATTTTACAGGGGTATTAGTTCATTTTATGGTTTAGAAGCCACTTGCTCAACAGTTGCTACTGGGATTTTTAAAAATTAACTTAAATGATTTTAGCAAATGGCTGCAATATAACAAAGAGTGAAAAATTTAAGGGGGTCTGAATACTTTCCGTACCCACTGTATATTCTATTTGTGTAGCATGGACTTTTCCAATTTAGGATATCTCCATTTCATTGAATTTATTTAATTTACCTTAATTTACCCAACATTTCATCATTACTCAAATGATTCCTCCAGATTAAAGGCATAGTTCACCAAAAAAATTAAAATTCTCTCATCATTGACTCATGTCTACACGTTTTCAAACCTTTATGATTTTCTTTTTTTTTTTCTTTTCTTTTCTGTGGAACACAAAAGAAGGTATTTTGATTAATGTTGGTAACCAAACAGTTTTGGTGACCATTGGAACAAAATAAACAACATTTTGAAGAATGTTGATAAGCACACAGAATTTTCGTTGCATGAAAAAAAAAAAAAAAAAAACACTCAGACATTTCTCTAAATATATTATTTTATGTTCCACTGAATTAAAAAGTAATTCAGGCTTGAAATGACATGAGAGACAGAACTATCTATATTAGAAGAGTTAACAGGAGTAGAGACTGCTAGTTATCAGACCCATAAGGCCCCTGTTTTCATGCAACATTTATGCATGTTGCCCCTCTGAACAAGTAATGCAATCTCCATTCATAAGAAACACATCCAACTCCATTTAGCAAAGCGCTGGGTGGCTCTGGTTATAGATGGTAATGGAGAGGCAGAGGTATTAAGGCAAGACATTAATTCACTGTGTCAAGCTGTCCCAGCGGAAAATTTATTATACTAAATACAATTAATTAGCAGCCCCTGTCGCTGATATAGAAAACTGCATTGTCAGTAAAAGTAAGGATTTGGAAGTGTACCTTTCAGAGCTTCTGTTTTGTGCTAATTCATTCAGTCTAGCATCAGAGGAATTTAAAAAGGCTTTTCTTTGGAGTATAGATGTAGAAAATCAAGTAAGCAGAAGTTTGAAACAATGCTTGGTGTGAAATATGTTCATGGCCACATCTTTCCTTAAAATGTTTAAAAACTCAGCTGTGATGTACATTTCTGTTGGCTTGAGAAAGCCAACATACTGTTATTCTATTTAAACTTATTAGTGGTGCTTATGAAGCAAAGCATCATCTTACTTGCTTATGTTGGCCTGAGAAAGCCAACATACTGTTCTTTGATTTAAATGTTGGCTTCTTCTATACAAATTTTGGTAGGACTACACTGTTTGTCATACAGTGGCATACAATTTTTGGGAAAAATCACAGAGACTTCACTTTGGCACAAACTTTGTGAGATCTTATCTCTGGATAAGAATGGCATAAAGACATTTGACTCATTTGGCTCATTTGACTCCGTCTATCAAGCATCCAATAAGTAGTGACACAATGACTTCATAGCAACAGCCTAGAAACCATTCACCCCACCCTAGCAACCACCCCATAGATTTCCACTAAAAATAGATGAGAGATATATCTTTGAGTCAGAACATCTAAGGCCATGTCCACACGTACATGGGTATTTTTATAAATGAGGATATTTATAAAGGAGTTTTTCCTTCTGTTTTTAAAAAAGCCATGTTGGCCAATCAGAAGCCTGAAAAAGTTTCCAGTAGGCGGAGATAACAGCGCAGGCTCC